GAAAGATGAGCAAAGGTGATATTTACCTATTATGCTGATAAAGGCATTAAAATGCTATTCAAACGTCCGTCGCATGGAAATAATCATTCTAAATAATAAACCATAATTCCATCATTCTAAATAATAAACTAAGGTGCCCGGTGGCGTAGAGGTACAGGCTCTCGTCTACCAATCTCAAGGTAGTGGTTTCGGATCCCAGACCCGGCATTTCATCAGCCGACTATTTTTATTAAAATAAAAATAGTTTGGGTACCTAGGTCGACTCAGCCTTAAATGAGTACTTGGGATTTACAATTCTGAGGTAATAATAGGCGGTTGAAGCGTAGTGCTAGCCACATTACCTTCCTTGTATACCGAACGGCTCTAGTATGGCAAGCTGTACCTTGCTACTCCCAAGGCGTTAAACGCTATATACGGGAGCTATTATTATTATAATAATAAACCATACACTAAAAGTTACAGAGCATCAAATTAGCATTTTACATCAAGTAATACATACCGAGAAAATAAATATTTTTTGCGTTCCGTCGTCCAACAATTCTGCGTAGAATGAGTATCAATTCGTTCAACTCGGATCACAAGCATAGCTAAAACTGATGCTTAAAATAGTTATTTTTACCAGATTTACCACCTCAAAAGAATATTTCTTATCCAACGACCCTAATAAAAAAACGTCTAATTAGCATGCTCCATAAAAAGCTAGATGATGAAGGATTTATTGTAAAAGTAGCAGAGGAAAATGCTGATATATGATTGCCAGACGATCACCAAGTCCAGACGTGGTTGGGATATGCTAAAAATCTTCCCCAATGGGGATGAAATACAACAAAATACGGCTTGCTACCCATACCCACTATGAAGGGAGAACCTCCAGAAGTACTCAACAGCGTACTGTCCTACAAGTTTTCTACGGAATGCCGAGGTCGCGGCAGTTATATTGTTGTTGTGTCTACAACCAGTAGGGGACCAGAAAGACATTCAGGCTCCCCAGAAACAAGTAAGGACATTCATGCTCAAATGCGCCCGATGATGATGACATCTCGCCTGTCGTTCTTAATGAAGATGACGCGGAGTTATACAATGGAAATCTAGATCAGTCAGGTATATATTACATTTGCTTCGTATACTCATGACTCAGTAAGACCCAATTCTGGTTTTATGTTACAGATTACGGAGAAGATGATATCACGATTCATGCCAAAATGTCAAACAATAACAAGTCAGTTTTGAAAGAGGTTCGTTAGCCAAATGTAAGCGACTATGGGCCCTCGACTTCAAAGCGTATTTATAAGAATATGCCATGATTCCTTGAATAAATGCCATTCGAAGAGTAACCTAAAAATTAAATTATTTTTTGGTAAAACAACGCTGCGTATATAATAAAAAATAATTTCTAAATAAACGTGGTACATAAAATGAAAATATAATTAGCCTATATTTTCAGGGATACCCACCACACAAATTGCGATAACGGATGCAATTTCATTACGAGACAAATCATCTAATCCGTAACAAACGGTAATAAAGAATTATCACGGTCCAGTTAATTTCATTCAATGTAATCATAAATCAGCCATATTCATTTACGGTCGAACACTTTATTGATAAAATTGATCGTTGGATTTTGGCTCGCAGCAACGTTAACAATCCATTATGGACTGCGATGGGATGTCGTTTGTCAAAATTATTTTTCATCGTTTTTGCGTTTGCCGGAATTAATGGATAAAAATTAGCAACGCATCCGGCATTGATTAAAATTGTTTACAAATCTTTTTCCGATAACATATATTTTTCATAATTTAACAGGCTTTGATACTTACTTTGTTATTTTATCATCTAGTTAACTAGGTATTGTAATCGCAAAACATTTTCTGATGTACGTCATCAATCGTATTGACATTGATACTAAAGTATATAAACCTGACTATATGAGATTTTGGCAAAAATGTTTCAATTTGTTGTATAATTTAAGATACCGAGCAGCTCTTTATTTTACTTTATAGAGCAAATGATTGTAACAGATTTTTTTATTTAGATTATTAGTTAGTATTTATTAAATTCTGTGATTATTAGTTTGTGCATTAATAGGCATTAATAGCACCCTCGTACATGTTATAAACACTTATAGCGTTGTAAGATGTACATCAATCAATAAATAACCCATAATAATGCTTAATCTTCATAATGGACTAGTTTTTGCCAATATGTAATAAGTAAAATAAGCTATAAAATAAATAAATCAATTAACCACTAAAATATTAGTTATTAAATTAAAAATAAAACGTAGAACTCTTTAAAAAATGATATAATAAATAAAAAAAAAAGATTCATCTCATAAATCCATCACAATCTGGCAGCGCTGCTTGTCACTCAAAGTTGATCACGTGCATCGGAAATTGTTTTGCGATTACCATACATGTTGTAAAAATACAGAAATTTTGTAGGTCATTATTTTATGACTTACTGATTTATATTGTAAAAAAATTTATATTGTAAATTAAGGTTCTGTATTGACCTCTATTATACAATTTTTGTGCATCCAGATTTAATAGAATAACAGACACTTAATAGAATAAACAAAAAATAACTTACTGACATATAAAGTGTCAATTGGACTTCCAAGGCAGACTTGATCTCAGGCCAATTTTTAAAAAATATATTTTTTAGGAAATTTACACAATAATGGATAAAAATTAGATACCGCCGCGGCCGTATATACTTTTTTTCGCTCTATCTAATAAAAATTCAAAATGGCGGCTATAATAAAACAAAAAGTTGACTGTTATTGTGCAAAATCTAGAATGCAAAATCTAGAAGGCCGAGGTCAAAAATATAAAACTACCAACTTACGTCGCAATAGATACAATAGTTCTGAAGACATTGTCATTTAAAATAAATGTATTATTTTCATTTTTTTGACATAAATCCAAAACTAATCAAGATACCGGGGTTTTCGACATTGTAGTTTCCGAAATGCCAATTTTAAGCATCGAAATTGTCACCATCCTATATATTTAGACAATAATACTCACACTAACCTCCAGACAGAATAAAAAAAACAAGAAAATAAAAAAATAATCATTAATAATTTGGCAATTAACTCTCCATGAAAACGTATTTTTAACGCGGTTAGAATAAATTTCACGAGTAATTTTGATTGCCACCTGCCCACGTGAAATAACAGAAAATAAGATAAAAAAAACAAGCCGGCAAAAGGTCCCTTTTGCCCTTTAATTGCCAAATCCATCAACTACATTGAGAATGTGAAGGGTAGATCTGCTTGTGTACTGTATAAGTCCAAAAGCTTTAATAATTTGTTTCTCACTAAAACTTGATAAAAATTTGTTAATAAATAATTGTCCTCATTTCATTTTTGATACTTGAAAATTTATGTATATTTTATGTCATTTGAAAATATGGTCTTTGAAATTATATTGGTTAAATTTAATGATAAATATAAAATTTGAAGGTAAAACAAAATGATAACAATATTTCATACTTTCAAAAAAGACTCTAGGTTTTTAGCCGATAGAAAAAAGTTATAGTTATTACTATAGTTGTTTTTTGTAAAATTCTCTGCGTGGATCAGCGGAGAACTGTTTATCAGTAATATTTTACTAATAAAACAAATTTTCCTAACGTACAAAAAACTTAACGTTTCAGAAGGCATATCTTCTCACGCAAACGGTTTATAATAGACGTCTGTGTTAACAAATATAAAAACAAATGTTCGTCGGTTTACAAGCAAAACACACTAAGTCCAATTATTTTAATTTTGATTTATTTACGAGCCCTAACAACTAAATGTTCGGACAAACAAAAATTTATTAAAAACCTTTATTTTCATAAACTGATTTTTTTACATTTAAGAAATATATTAAAAATATATTAAAATCTAACATTTGTAATGAGTATTTAAATAGTTTAGTTTCTATAAACATTAAAATAAACTGTAGGCCAATAAATAAACAAAAATATCGTGACAACTAAATGTTCGGACACTTTAAAAAATAACTGTTCTCATATGGCGTTACATCGGCATGAACTTTTGCAACCAATGCATGCCTGTTTGGCATTGTTTTTATTAATGATTGACATACGCCAGAGTAAAAATTTTGCCATAATTCACTTAATACCATCGTCAAATGGGCAACGGTTTCTTGGGAATTGTGGCATAATTTTTGTTTTGTTTTATGCCATATGTCTCGATAACATTAAGGTCCGGACTGTGCGAGGGCCATGAGGGAACCTTGATGTTCATGTCCTTAAACCATTTTTAGTAGTTTTAGCCATATGGCATGTCCCGCCATCCTGTTGAAATATAAAATTCATATCCTGGTAAAGGTCTCTCGCACTTGGCACAAGACTGTTTTTCAAAATTTCTTGATATTTTGACACATTAGTTGTGCTTTTCTAACACCTCATACCTTCCTAGACCCATTGCGTGCATAAACTCTAAAAGCATAATGTCTTTAGGAAATTCCACTGTCCAACTTTCATAAAGATCATGCATGCATGCAGATGTAATCCTTGAACTTGCAGTTTGCGTTTAGAATTAACAGCGTCGGATTGGAACTTCTAATGTCAGAAACTACAAAAATGACATTAAGGTAAAAAAATTACTTATTTCCCAATCCGACGGTAATAATTCCAATCGCAAATGGCACGGATGGGGTATGTCAACCATTAATAAAAACAATGCCAAACAGGCTTGCAGTGGTTGCAAAAGTTCATGCCGATGTAACGCCATATCAGAACAGTTATTTTTTACAGTGTCCGAACATTTAGTTGTCACGATTTTGTGCAATCTTTTTGTTTATTTATTGGCCTACAGTTTATTTTAATGTTTATAGAAACTAAACTATTTAAATACTCATTACAAATGTTAGATTTTAATATATTTAAAAGTATTTCTTAAATGTAAATAATTCAGTTGATGAAAATAACATTTTTTAATAAATTTTTGTTTGTCCGAACATTTAGTTGTTAGGGCTCGTATATCATTTGATTAGATTTCTTCCAGAATCTAGATCTATATCCAAGAAAAATCCACTATACCTGCAAGAATAAGAATTATATTAGTTTAATATTTAAATTACTTTCATATTCATTAAGTTCATAATGGCGCTATATTAGTTCATTAAAAATGTATTCGTTTTTGGACTTAGTATGTTATGCTTGTAAACCGACGAGCGACGTGTTAACAGATTCGTTTTGTTATAAATCGTTGTCGTTCTTTGTGTTTTTTTTTGTCCATTTTACTACGATAGTTGACTGGTTACGCACAGAATTGAAATATCTAAAGAAATATGATATATAAAGTTACGGTGCCAAAAAAAAAACAGAAATAGAAAATTTTTGTTGGTTCTAACTCATATTTGGTTAATTCGTGTTATTGTTTTACTCGTTTTTGTAGCTATTTATGTTATTTTATAATCTAAAATCAATCGATATTTTTGAAACATAGATTGTGGGTGAAATACAGTTTCTACTGTTGATTTCATATCAATAAAAAATGTGTAAAATTTTATTAATATTTAATATATTTATATTTATATTATTTAATATTTAATTAATTAAATATTAAAAGCTCTTTGACGTCTCTACGTTCCTCTATATTTTTCTGCAATCTTCTAATTTGTTTATTGATTTACATCAACACACAAAATCTTCGTGAAAAAGACAAGCCTTCACGTCTCAATAAACAGATAACGTGCTCTGGTGACATTCCAAGACTTTTGTTTTTGTCTGTAAAAGAAAATTCCTTACTACACTTATATTTAATATATGACTTCAAATATTAATTCTACAATGACTAACAAACTCCTCTTTCACAAAGTACGACTGCACTAAACCATTACAAAAATATTTCTATTAAGAATTTATGGCGCCCATAAAATATCCCAGACTGCAGAATTTTAATATGTAAAATTATTAAAATTCTACAACGGAAAATAGTAAAAAGAGCGATATAAATTTTCAAAGAACCGCGACGATAAAAATGCTATTTTCATTTTAATAAAATCTATTATTTGCGACCGACAATAATAACGCGCATCCATTAAAACTAAATTTATTTCCGAGAAACCAAATAATTAACCATAGACCGAGGACAACCGCATAACTACCGTTGAATATTATTCGGCTAATAAAATTCATCTATAAAATTCGATATTCCGCTGGAATTCTAAAAATAATATGAATTGCGATGGACATTACGTGCGGTGTATATAATTTATTTTTTTCTATTTTAATGTTCTCTCATAAAGAGAACAGTCAAGTTATGAAATTCAATAAAAATCTTATTTTATACAGGGTGAGTTAAGTGAGGTACAAGTGCCGTAACCATAGAGTAAAACCAAAACCATGGTAATATCAGAGATTAAAGAACTATACCGTGGGAAAATTTTCGATGAACAGGCAGTCCTAAAAAGTTTTCTAAAATATACGCTACATTTTTCATTGAACATCATTTCTTGCGAAAAAACATAGACTTGCTCCTGGTGTCGAAATATACCACCCCTAAAAATATTTGCACTAATTTAAGACTCCTATATATTCCTCTTTAGTGTCCAGAGGTGGCTCGTCTCATTCAGAATGTTAGTGTCACTATGGGAGCCCAAATTTTAAATCGATATAAAATTGAAAAAATAACTTACAGATAACTTATGTAGTTAGAGATTTAAAGTTCTTGAGATTTAATAAGTCTTGAGACAATTTATAAAAATATTAATTATACTACACAGGGTGGTCCGAATTCGATTGGGAAAACTTCGCTAGCGTATTCGCTGCAGATAAAAATAAGTAAAAAGTTCGTATAAGTTTAAGTGCTAAAATTATATATTTCGGAGACATAGGGTGTAAATATTTCATTTTTATTTCGTTTTCTTCTAAATAATTTCTACGATAACTACAACTAACGTCGATATTTGAATAAAAAATATTTCTAATTCCGTCACTAAATAAATTAATTAATAGCACGCTAAAGAGCGGTATCTATCCTGAATACCTAAAGGAGACCATCATTTATACCAGTCTAAGTAGTACCAAAAAACACAAAGAGCAAAAAAAACTATTTAAAATATCTAAATTAACTATTCGAGAACACTTTATTTTTTTTTAAACAGATATCTCTATAAAAACCGTTGACGTTCTGTTAAAATGACATTATCTCAAAAAATGTTAATATAACACATTTCTACATGTATAATGTTTATATAAAAATGTGTGTTCATTTAAACAGAATGTCAACGGTTGTTATAGACGTATTTGTTTAAAAAAAACTAAAGTGTTCTCAAATAATTGCAAAAAAAAAGTATTTAAAATATCTAATCGAATAGTTGCATTTAGATATGTATTTTAAATAGTTTTTTTCTTTATTCTATATATTTTTTTGCTTCCGACGACGGGAAGAGATATACTTCCCGAAACGCTAAAGATTTTTTGTCCGTTAGGCAAATTTATTTATTAGTAAACCATTGCTGACAATTAATCTCCGTTGGATTAACGCAACAGTGTTTACACAAAAATAAATATTTTATTATGTAGATTTTCTTAAAGTGGCGAAATACACATAGGACTTTTTTTGAAGAGATAAATCTGCCACAGAGGTATAGACATTTTTTAAAATGTTTAATTTGTAAGTAAAAAATCTGGATGCAAAAATAAATTTATTGCAACTACAGCAATTTCAATCGTTACTTTTTTAATAAAGAAAATAAACAACTTATAAACAAACCACAGATATAAATCAAAAAAGGTTTTAAACAAAATAATTTAACTACATCTATCTAGTATTGCATGCCGGATAACATAAAAAACCGCGTATGTTTTTATGTCACACGTGCGATAAAAACAGAAACTCCATGGCTCAGAAATGAAATGTTAACTATAAAGTGTAACGCAATATGTTTAAAGTTATTTATGAAAGCTGCAACAGATACCCGTACAACAAACATTTATGGTCGACGATTTTGTTAGTTGCTTTATTCGAAACGTCCATTTAATTTAAATAAACGTTCTGTGTATGTATGTATATCTGCGTATAAACAATGTTAATTCAATTTTTGCTAAAGGGACTCTTTTGCTGCTAATTAATTAAATAACTCATGTCGAATAAATAAATGTAATGTAGTTCGCGGCCTGCGTTTTTGATTAAATTGCGTTTTTGCACAGTGCAAAATAAAAATGCAGTTAATAAATACCGATCGAACTGTATTCGGTTTCGAATGAATCGAAAATAGATTATTTGGTTATGTTTGTATATTTTTTGCGTAATTTTACATGTAACGTTGGTTTAATTTTTATTTAATAGGTCGTTTATAGTCTGTAAATCTACTAAATTAAATATATGAGGATTTCTAACGTTTTTTTTTATCTATATTAGATAATTCATTTTAAAATAACTAAAAATTATTTGCTGCTGAGACTATCAAAATGTTGAACTTTGGCGTTTAAAATATTACTTCAAAAGTATATTTTTTTCAAATCCTGCCATGACTTCGTTGTAGAGACACCTTTCTTGTTCACTGACGTTGGCAATTTAATTATTAGATATTAATACATGTGGCATTATGGTGTTCTGGTATATTATTGCTATTAAAATAAGTTAATCGTTTCTATTCATTACCATTCAATCAAGAGGAATACTGATACCGTATTATAAAAATTAGAGCTAGTTAACGGCTTATTTTTTCGTACTCATTATATTTTTGCTAATAGCTTCGGTTTGAAAAAAAATACAAGATGCGGTTTTCATTGACCTTTGAAGCTTTTATACCTCTTTACTATCAGCTAAAATTGCACATACAAATATATTTAATGCAGTATACTGTCAAATGAATATTATTATTTTTTATATGGTACAATATAGAGTGAGGAATTCTCTTTTAAACGAGGCTAGTCTGGATTCGGATTACCCAGTCCGGAATTATTGACATTTAAATAAAAACAGATCTACCCTTCCCCCACCATTTTAATTTAGCAGATAGGTTAAAACGGGCGAAAGAAAAAAATCGCTGGAGATTATGACGCCATGATCTATAGAACGCTTTATCTATGCAAAATTTTGTAAAAATTCCATTTACTTTTATTTGCCTTGGTAACTACGCCTTCTAGCGGCCGTTCTATAAACTAGAAAATGACTTCCAACAATTTCCCATGGCCTTTTTAGTCTTAAATATTTTTCCCGCAAGATCTACAGCTCCGGTACATACTCAACTTTAAATCAACTTCAAAATTTTAATCAGTTATTCAATAATGTCTATTCCTTGAACTTATATATTATACAGGGTAGCCCATCGAAAACGTTCCGCAATCACTTCCAAAATCACGTCAATTTTGTTTGTGAGGGGGACTTTTGCCCCAAAAATGATTGCAAAATCTTCAACCCTCTAAGCGGGGGTGTCATCCCTCAACTTTTTTCAAATGGGAAGGGGGGTCAAGTGGCACCGCAATGAAAAGAGCTTTCTATTCTCTATATTTCCCCGCTTCGTTTTTGAAAATCGGTCTAGTCATTGAGAAAATATGAAGGATTGAAATTTGAAAAGTTTATTTAAACATTTATCAGAGTAAATGATAAGGATAAATTCCTTCGACCAATTTGCTGTTTTTCCTTATTATTTCTAGATGTTTACGCATTTTTTTACTTGCCACAAGGTTGAACGATCAGGTGCAGTAGTTGCTAGATAGCTGTTCTGTGACTTGTGCGTTGAAGTTCTTCTCAATATCGTTAAACTTTTTAACAATTATGGTGTACTCACTTGCAGAAAAAGTGGATATAATCGAACTTATTTTGAAAAATAATGAATGTGGCGATCGGTTTGCGCAGATATTCAATGAACGCCATCCTGACAAACACCTTTATGGCAAAATTGTTCGGGACTTAGTAGCAAAATTTCACGAAACTGGTTCCGTTATGAATAAAAAGAGGCAGAGAATCCTGTAGTAAATGAAGCTACGGAGGTATTCGTATTGGGCCAAGTTGCCATGGATAGTACGCTGAGTACAAGAAAATTAGCCAATGAGACCGCGACCGGCGTGAATCGTACAAGTGTCCA